AGGACTCGTCAAAAATTACTAAACATATATTCGATGCAAACATTGAAACAATAAGGAAGTGAGGGAGGAAGAAACGAACACGTCTTTGATGGCGAAGGTTAGAGCGGAGAGGTTCTGCGTTTGGTAGGGCTGGGAAATGGGAAGAAGTTCGAAACGCTGGATGAATGCGCCAAAGTCCTCTTTGAGAGGCTTCCGGCGGCGCCTGCGGCGGGTCTCGGCCAGAACGACGACGCCGGCGATTCCTATTCCGATGAGAAGCCATAGTTTAGGGTTGGAGGCATTGAGCTTCAACAATTTGGGCATGATCGTGAATGTGATCCAACGGAACAGAAAAAGGGTTTTAGAGAGAGAGAGAGAGAGAGAGGAATGTCTATGCTATCATTAAATTTTAACCAACACCAACAGTCGCGCCAATCTACTCTACTCTTCTAATCACTCTCTTCATTTCTTTTTTCAACTTTAAAAGTTTAGAATGAGAGAATGTATGTATGTTTCACTTCTTTCATATATCCAGCCACGAGTCGTGATTATTAAATGTTTTGTTTTTGTAAGACGCTTTGCTATTCTCTTTTTAAACAAGTTAGATGGATTCAATTTAAATTTTAAATACATCGTTATAAATATATATATATATTATTTAATCATGGACTTAATACATGATATGATTTATAACTTCTGACATAAATGATCGTGTTATTTAGTATTATTTTTTAGTTATTTATCTTATTAATCACTTTTAAAGTTATTTTATATTATTAGATTATAAATGTCTAATAAATTATACTGATTTGATTATTTAGTATGTTAATTTTTATTATTAAAATATTTAATTTTATCATGATAGTCATCTTTATTTTTATTAATTTTAACTAGAATATCAAGCTCTTCATTATTCTTATATAGTTCTTTATCCTAAAAAAGATTAGCTTTGAAATGTAGATTATTTAGATTTCTATCATTTTAAAAGAAAAATTACATGATGTTTAAAATAAATTTATCAAGAGTATCCTTTTAAAAATCAATATCACTACCAATTTGTTTATTTCTTTTATATTTTAAATGACCAAAAGGATAGGATTAGAGAAATTAGAGAAAATGGGCCAATAATCACATATCAATTGATCATTAATTGTTGTTAATTAATTTATTTTTATAATAATATATTTTTAATAAAAATTAATTATGTAAATTATATATATATAATTAAAAAAATGGTGTCCTTTTTAAAATGGGACCCAAGACAATTCTCCACCTTAATTCCGCTCAAGATTATCGTTGATAACTCGTTATAATTAGAAATAAAAATGATTAATATAAGATATATAGTTATATATGATGAAGATTATTCTTAATATATATATAGAGAGAGAGAAAGAGAGTATTAAGGATGTGTTTGGTAAAATTAACTCATAAGTTAGTTGAGAACTTTTAAACTATAAGTTGTTTGAAAAGTAAAAAGTTCATAAGTTAACCGGTTGAATTAAAAGAGTTTAATAAAATTAATTGATAAATTTAAAATGATATAAAATATTTTTTTTATAATAATGAAAGTGAAAGAATGGCAAGATAAACAAAATACTTTATTAATTGAAAAGGATAAAAAAATGATGTCAAATAAATTAATGAGCGTAAAAAACAAGAAAGAAAAAAGATGAAGTACTCAAAGGATCTCTTTGATTAAAAAAAAGGGTGAGAATGCGAAGCAAAAAAGGGGGGATAAAAGGAAAGGAGGGGTCTAAATTTTATTTAGTTGAAAGGAGAAAGGAAATACGAAGGTAGAAGAGAAGTTATAGATTTTGTTCATTGAGAGGAGAAGAAGGAATGAGAAAGGATAAAAGGAGTTAGAAATTTTTTTTTAGTTGAGAGAAAAGGAATGTATATTTTTTCTTGTTTTATTCATAAAAAAAGTAGACAAATTTTAAAAATAAATTTACCATTGTATTCCTATAATTTTAAATTTAAAAACATAAATAAAAATATTTTATACATTTTACTAAAAATATTTTTAAATTTCTCATATTCTCTCTCTTCCAAATCACACAATATCGAACAAAAGATAAAACTAGATTATGAGGGTTTTCCCTCCTTAATTTCCCTCCCCTTCGCCTTCTCCTCCCTTCTCCTTATAATACTTTAAGTTTTTTAAAATCATTAAAAGAATGTTTTAAATTATGAGTTTTATAAACATATTTAGAGACTTTTAAATAATTATGAGTGTTTTAAATTAAATAAAGCAAGGCATTCAAATTATTTTGGTATAGTAAGTATTTGAAAAAATTATTTTTATTATAATTTTTTTATGTATTTTATTTATAATTATGTTAGGAGAAATATGTTTATTTTATATATTATTTATTTATAAGTTTTAATCAATTAAAGTGAAGAAAAATGTAACCACAAATTATGTGATTAACTAATGGGTTAAATATGATTTAGAAAGTTTTATAAGGGTTTAGGTCAGTTTTATGTTTTTACGCTTTTTATTTTCTTCTTTATATTTATGTACTTTAAAGAACCTGAGGATCGTCATAGAGATTCGCACCCTTTGTCTAGTTTTCATTGAGGCAAGGGGGAATGAGTAGTTTCACTCCTTGTGTGGAATATATGTTGGATAGTAAGATTGACCTCAATCTCTTTCTCCATTGTATGATGTTCACATATTGAATTGGATCAATTTTGAGGAGAAAATCATCTGATTCAATCTCTTCAATTTTGTTCATTGATCATTCAATCGATTTGGTTTAAAAAAACAAATCCAATCTAATCCAATTCAAGTATATTTCAATTTAGATTGAATAGGTTTCCAATTTTTCAAACATAGCTATAATATATTTATGAGAAAAAAAAGTTATAATATTATGTGCCAAAAAAATTTATTAATATTATTCATCAATAATAATATAAGTCACAATATACAAAATTACGAATTGAGATAATCTATCAACATTAAATAACATGATAAAATCACTACCTTAAAATAAAGAAGTAAACCAATAGATTTAAGTATAAAATCATAAAAGACAATAATTAGATATATATATATATATATATAGAGAGAGAGAAAGAGAGAGGGAGAGAAATTGTTCAGTTTGGTTTGAATTGGATATTTCAATTAAAAAATATCTACTTTTTTATTTTTGATTTT